GCCTCCCTCCTGTGGGGCCTGCACCGCCCTGCATCCCCCAGCGCCTCCACACAAACACTTCCTGCTCTAACAAATGCCCAGGACGACTGGCCTCCCAAGGTCACCACCAGCCTGGGGCCTGCAGCCCCGGGCAGCCTGGGACGCCCCGAAGCAAGGCTCCCCGGGGCCTGGGTGTGAGGGCTTCTGGTCCATTCTCAGACGGAATCCCCCCTGGAAGGCACGCCTAGAGCCTGGCTTCCCTGGCCACCTCCCCGCACCCACCGCGCCACCACAGGGGACAGGGTCAGGCCCTTGGCTCCTGCGGGGTCCCCTCCGTGGATGGACAGAGGAGGGGTGAACAGCGGACACATGATGTTGGGGTGACTAAGGGGACCCTGGGCAGGCAAGCATGCTCATTCCCCGTCATTAAAAAGGTAAAACCCTCTAGTGCTCCCACCAGGAAACCTAGGGCAGAGCTGTTCCCACCAGGAACCTCCAGGGCAGGCACCCGGGGCCAGGACGCTGGGCCAGCGACCAGAGCCAGGCAGTTACTGGGAGTCTGGGGACACTGGCCCTTCCTGGGCAGGGCCATTGGGCATTGGAGACAGCTGGAGGGTCTGAGCGCTCTGGCTTTGGGGAAGCCCTGAGGGCTCTGGGCTCTTGTCCTCCTTCATGGCCTAAGGGGTCTGGTGGGCCCTGGGAGCTGGGACAGAGGTAGCTGGGTTTCTGGTTGCAGTGTCCAAGGAGCTGGGGATGGAGTTTGTTACTCTAAGGGTGTCCTGGAGGTCCCTGATGCTAACCAAGGCCTGACAGGGGTCTGAGGGCTCTGCTACTTTGCCGCCATCTGAGACTTCCTGGAGTGCTGAGGAGGGTGTAGGATCCTGAGGCCTGAGCTGCAGGATGCCACAGGCCCCAAGGCTGGCCAGGTTCCAGGCAGGGAAGTTTTGGGGCACACCAAGCAGGTCCTGTGGGGCAGGGGTCCCAGAGCACAGTTCCTTATCCCCACAGTCTTAGGGGCTGGTCAGGCGTCTCTAGGCACTGGGTCAAAGGTGGCTGTCCAGCTGGGGCTGGGAGGCTAGGGCCAGGGCTAGGGTAAGAGAGCCGGGTGGCATCTTGGGACACCTGGCCATCCTCCTGTTGTCTTCTTCTTCATTCTCTGTGCTGCCTCCACTTGGAAAGCCTGCAGGCTGGCCCAGGTGGGGCCCCCTGGCCAGCTGGCTGCCCTGCCAGGCGCCGTCCTCCCCATCGGACTCCCCAGAGCCCTGGCCCTCCTCCTCCTCCTCGTCATCAAACTGCTGGATCCGGTCCTTGTAGCAAATCTCCAGCAGGTTGGTGTTGGGCTGCGGGGTGCAGGCGGCAGGGTGGGTGGGCGGCACTGCCCACCGCCCCACCCCCA